AAAATAAGTTTTTGTCAAGATAGTGATCTCTCATAAGGGAAATTAATTTCTTAAATTGGGCCAGACCAACAATTTCTTGTGGGGTTGTTTTTAATGGGTCCAGACCAGAATTCTGTAAGTGTAAGCAAAATCACATTTGGGCCCTTGCTTAAGACCAACTGCTAAAAAGGCATTACTTTTACACAAAATCAATCCATTCCGATTTTCAATTGGCATTCAGTTTTTTTTCAACTATTTTAACTGAATTATTGGACATTATTGATGGCGACTTCCATCTTCACAAAAAGATTGGTTGGTAATTTCTTGAATTATAAACATGGCTAACTATTTCCATTGCACATGGATTATATTGTAGATTCTCTTGCGTTTATTTTAAGCAGGTTCCTATAAAATTACTGGATAGACAAGGAATTTGAAAGCTACTAGTAGTATGCCAAACACCTATGCTCTCCTAACCTTTCTTTTTTAAAAAAAGAGAAGAAAAGAAGATGTGATGTATTATACCATTTTAAGCTAACAAATTTGGAACCTTCCAAGTTTTTTTTTTAACATCAGTAACTTACAAGCACCACCTGGTAAAAATAACTAATAATTTATATTTAACATCAACAGCCACAGAAGTAACTTCCAAGATCCATATGTTAAAAACAGTTAAAAATTAATAAAATAATTAATATTTATTATTTAATATATCAAAATCAATTACAAGTAAATATGTCTAAAGGGGTGTTTGTTTTGATCTTTTAACAATAATTATCGGTTGTTAATTTTAATTAAATATTTTAAATTATAAATATAAATTATTATTCGCTGTCGATATTAATTATTAGATGTCAATTGTTTTGAAAAAAATTAATTTAAACAATGAATAAATATTATAACTAACTATTTAAAAAATAAATAATATACTAATAAAATTATAATTTAAAAAATAATTTTAACAAAATTAATAGTAACAATAATCACGTAGAATTTTCTTAACTCAATTATTTTTTAAAACAAATACAATTTAAAGATAAAACGTGAAAAATTATAATATAATAATATAATAATTTAAATTTAAATTATTATTAAAATATTAAATATACTTATCAAGCGGGAGTAGTGTTTCTTTTTTTTTTTTATATTAACCTTTTAATATCTAATAATCACATTAAATTTTAACTAATTCAAAATTAATTCATGTTAAATCTCATTAAAAAAAATTTTAATACTTATTTTTTTATTTATAAAATTTAAATTTAAAATTTTATTTAAAATAAATAAATTTATTTCACTCGAATTACCATACTATTTGTTTTTGCTTCAACTACTTATTCTTGAGTTATAGAATTAATTTTCAGTGTAGGTCACAGGTAGGCTGGAAAGAAGCATGGCACATGCATTGAGGAATTGGGTAGTACATTGTCTGGAAACTTCCAACCACTTATAGCTGATGTGATGGCGGTCAGCTGGTGGCCGGTGGCCTCAAGCCTTTTTTAACTGTCTCCGCGGACTAGTGTAAAACTCTACCATACTCGCCACCCTTGGAAAATTACATCGCCACTCGCTCCTCTATATCTACACGTCTTCCACTTTCTATAAAATAAATAAATTCCTACTTTAATCAATTTTTCTTTTTTAACTTTTTCCCCTCTTTCCATACTACTACATAGTAAATAAAAGCAGAATTTTCCTAAATTCCTACTTTAATTAATTTTTCTTTTTAACTTTTTCCCCTCTTTCTATACTACTACATAGTAAATAAAAAGAGAGTTTTCCTCAATTCATATTCCTTTTCATTTACTTTTCCAACCTTTTAGAAATTTCATGTATGTTGGTATCTATGTTCATTCAAAATGCCCATGCTTGAAAAAAAAATATATATAAATCATGTAATTGATATGTTTTAATTCAGTGAATGTATGTATGTTTAGTAACACATTATATCAAAATTTTCTTAAATCATCTCAAAAGAATGTATGTATGTATGTATGTTTTAATTCAGTGAATGCATGTAATTTTAGCCTTTTGAATATCAAATCATCTCAAAGGAAACAAGAAAAATAACTTTAGAAACAAGAAAAATAACTTTAGATGGCTACAGTAAAATGCAAAATGAAAAGTTAATTATTGTTGTTTTTTAATGATGAAAAGAAAATTATTGTTGTTTTTCAAATATAATAAGAGAAGGAATTTTTTTATATAATATTACACAATAATAGATAATTCTTTCTTATGTCGTCCAAATGTCATATGAGTTAAACTTAATATTTCATGTTTTTAGTAAAAAAAAATTATTATTAAATTATTTAAATTATTAACATTACGAGGAAGATTCTTAGTCAATAGCACATGATAAATAGTACTTTGCTGAGAAATCTTATTTTTAATAATATTAATGAAAAATATTTTAAAATTTAAATTATATTAAATTATCAAATAAAAATTATTAGATGAAAAAAAAACTCAAAATATCAAGAAATCTAATTTCTTTTCAATAATTAATGTAATATAATTTAAATTACATTACATCTACAACATAGAATGATTTGTTAAGAAATTTTATTAATAAATTAACCTTTGTAGCAAGTGATGTGACATAACTTCTATAATTATTCATTGTTGTTTTTTTATGACTAAGAAAAATTATTGTTGTTTGTCAAATGTGGTAAGAAAAGGAATTTTGTCAAAGGGAATAGTAGGTAGAACTTAGTAAATTATAAAATATAAAATATGCATGTGCCCAGTGACGAGAGCAAATAATTTCTTCACCTACTCAAGTAAAAGAATATTATTATTATTATTATTATTATTATTATTATTATAAAAAAATTTATTATTAGTTCTCAAATATAGTAAGAGTAGGGTTGGGTATTTTTTAACCGAATTGATGGTTTAC